TGCACAGTCGGCAAATTTGACCTTATGGACCAAAACATAAACACAAGAGACCTTAGCCCTTATGCTAAGTATCAAAATACGGAAGGAGTGGGTTATTCTTTCGCACCTATTAGACGAATTAATAGATATTCAGGAATTGGGGAATTGATTGGTTTATTTAGACTCTTCTACAGACATTTTTGCGAATTTTTAACAATTGATGTAATGTATGTGTTATTTAGCTAATTATATTGTCTAATACAAGTGGCTCTCGATATAAGAATTTGTTGGGCCCCGATCACTTTCTTATATCGAGAGCTAATAACCATTCTATACGTGTGTCAGGAAACAAATTGCCATTGCTCCATGTAAAACATTGCTCGTTTTGTCGATATCACTAAATAAAGGAATAAATCGATATGATGGTGAAATCGCGGTGAAGAAAGTCTTCATATAAATTAATATTCCGATTTCAAAACACATACAGCATGTACTTTATAACATGTCCACTTTATTATTATTGTAAAAAACAAAAGAAACGAAAAAAAAATACACGAAAAAGTTATGATAAAAAAAGAATTCACAATGTCTTAAAATTAAACAGGCATGATACATGATATAGAAAATAAGTCTGCACAACTCTACAAATGATATTTTCGCCATTCGTATTCGCCGGACTTCATGTTAAAAGGCCCACTACTGCGTTTACCCTTTACAGATCTCAACCGACGCTTTGATCTTGCCCAAGCATGGATAACATCCAAGTCTGTTTGGAAGGGATCTGCGGTTTACCTAATTGTATTTAAATACAATAGTGTGTATTGTGCTATATTATTTAATTTATTATTATTTAGTTCTAATATTATTGATTAATATCTGTCATCGCATTACAATTATCTTAATACGTGAGTGGATGGAAACGCACACTGTTTGTGTTGATTCTTCTCCGAGAGTATACACAGCAGTGGATGGAAAGTTTGATTCGAATGGGTAAATAACATTTGCATCATAAGGTATCCATTTCGCTTTAGTAGGATATAGTAATCTTGCACAGAATGCACAAGGCATGTGTTGAAAAAGAATAGTATTTTGAAAGCGTGTGTGTAGGCTGCGCAAACATTGAGAGGGTCGCCATGGAGGGATTGTAATGACAGGCGAATCAACGTTAGGTTGACAGATCGTATACAAGTATACTCAATAGTTGAGGAATTGGCAACAGGCTGTTGAAGTAACGTTCGACATTAGTTGGGAAAATGCATCTATGTTTGAGGTTATTTGTGACATGTTCAACTATTGTGTTATAATTCGGGATTGTTTGTTAATGTGTTTTGAATTTGTATTGTGACATACTCGCAAGGTTAAAACTGCTTAACTAAAAATAAAAAATTTACTGTCTATGAATATTCCAAACACATTCTGCATTTATGTACAGCTATTTTCGTAGTGCGTGTTGTTAACGCGTAAATATTGTATACGGAAAAATAGATTTTTTTTGTTATAAAGACCGCAGTTGGTGTACAAACAGCACTCGGCGATAATATCAATATACCATTGGTTCTGATGCAGATTGAAATTTGCTTTGTCCAAATTTTCGACAAGCTGCTAAAATAAGTTAAGGAATTATTTCTGGCAAGTTGGCCGAAGTATAGTACTATGAAATGCAAAAGTTACCTGTTATGTCGGAGAATTGAATGTTAATGAAACACGAGAAATTGATTACCAGAACGATTTCCTGTTTAGCAATATTGGATTAAAGAAATAAGAATGATTTAACTCATAGACAAAAAAAAGCATATAAAATATGCATTTTTTAACAATAATGTAATAGTAAAATGGTAATAAACTTTTACTTATTTTGTTTTCTGTTTCTTATTCGTGTTGTTTCTAGTTGTACGTCTTTTCCTGTATTATTTTATTGTTCAATGACAATATCATTATAATTGTCACTGATAACAACTTCTTCGTTATTTGTGAGTGTCTATTTCGGTAATGCTATCATTTATGAAGATTGATTAGCAAGAAATTTTTTTCAAATGCCGCTGATTTTTGTGCTTTTTGTTTCGACGCACTGTTCAGTGTTGCAAGGAGATGGTGCTTGTAGAGATTGTTATTGGTGAATTTGTGCAGTTTTTTGTTCTATGTCTGATTTCCGTTAGTTCGGCCAATAATAGTATTGTTTTTTTTCCACGGAATATTAATAGTGGCGTCACTCTCGTCTTGGTAGAGATAAATTGAAATCCCAACAACTCGCAATATAATTGCTTTTCCAAAAAAAATAAATTTCTAGTCACATGAACTTCTTTTTGCGGCCATTAAGTGGGTTTTACTTGTATCGGTAGTGTGTAACCCGTTTGCGTGAGATCAGCATTATTACTGATTAAGTGTGCGACTGATTTCAAAATGAGAATATAATCTTCGTCTATGTGTAATCATTAAAAGAATTATCTTTTAAGTGGAGTAAATTTCCCTGAGATTTGGTCTCTTGAAGTTGCTGTGTGACTTCAGGTGATGTATTGTCTCCCTCCATTAGATTGTTTTCGGACGTGTAGGCAGTAAATTTGTAAAGCTAATATCCATCTTCCGCATTGATTCTTGCACCTTTTTGAACGGGTTTGTTGTTATAAGTTTCGTCCGCAATAGAAACCATGTACATAATAACCGTGATAGTTGCAATCACTTTGTTCAATGGTGGTAATCAGTAATAATGGGGTTGTTGGATAATAGATAGCAAAGAGCTTTAAGATGGGAATAATCGCAGTTGCCCTTTTATTTATAATTTTGAGGTAGTATTTGAGTTAATAATAAATTATAATTGATTTTTATTTTATACTTTATTGGTGTCTTTCTTGATAAACTGACAAATTTACTGTAGTGCGAACAATCTGTTGGTTATTTTGGACAAAGCTATTTATTAATTGAGAAGTAAAGGAGTGATTTGGTGAAGAATAGGCGTATGGAAACTGTTCTTGAACAATCGTTGCTTACAAGATAACACGAATGTCACAGTACGTATAATTGCTGTGAATATTGAGATAATTGGAAGCTAATAACAGATTCAGTATGTGGTGGTCTTATTGGTGAAAGGTTCACACACGCTATTTCTGAACAGTTAGTGTGTGTGACAGACGCCGTTTTTGAACAATTGATGCTTGGAAAATAGCACACGGCTGCCATAATAATAATTGCTGCATGTGTATACAGTGGTTTATGGTAAAGTGTTTCTGCACGCTTTTTCTGAATATTTGGTGTATACAACGAAGTATGTATCATATTTGACATCTCGCCGACATTCATTTGTAGACAATCCGGATGAGAAGAAAAAGACGCTAAGAGTATTCATAAGACTAGATACAGACTCACTATCTTCTAAACTCGTTCATTCAAGGTCATTGCATCAGCTCTTTATCAATTTACCACCACATTATAAAGTTAATTGTAAAACCCCGAATCAAGGTCATGTGTAATGTACCGCTTTGCTATAACAGCCATCGGAACTGTTTTATCAATTCCACACAAGGAATAATAATAAGGAATAAGTTTTCTTTGCCTGCATTTATCTATCGACTTAAGCATGTTAGAGTAATTAAGTTAACATAATTATCCTAATTGCATAAAATTTCACTATGGATATGTCCCCATATTATATAGTACGTTTGTTTCGTTTTATTACGTACTAGTTAAAAATAAATTACCTGGGTGATTAGAAAAGTTTGGTGATTCGAGATGCCTTGCGGCCAAAGCATGGTCATTTCATCCGTTTCGATCTGCAGACGATATTGACCGACTCGTTTTGCTGTAATTCCGAGGTTTCTGACGAACTATATATGTTGGGGGTGTTTACTTAGTGTTTCAGGTGATATAAAGCAATCTTGTCAGTGAATCCAGATTACAAATTGCTAATACAGTTTAAGGGATACTGCCGAACGTGCATATTGACATTTGCACAACATGATGCTTTACTAATTACAAAAATCAGTAAGTAGCGACTAGCTCGAATGAACCATTCAACGATTATTAGGCTGTACCATCAACCAAATATTGGAATGATTCGCAACGCTTCGTGCCAGTAACTAAAAAAGTGAAACTTCGCGTGAAGTCCTTTTTTTTTGGTACTTGCTTTATTATCATCATCAACATTCTTTTATTCAGCGGAGATGTTGCGTCAATATCTAACATCACAAATATTGGGTTGCTAATATTGAATCAGTATGTACAAAAAGAAAATAATAATAATGAGAAGAAGAATTGCCCGACAATTCTACGCGAAGAGAAGTATTCTGCTATCAGGTTATGTACCCTACATACATTCTTCGTGTTGCCAATTTCCAAAACTGGGGTTGTATGATTGTCGAAATGGGTTACTTGCCTGTGAGGCTGCATTACATATTGCTACTGAAGTAAGTGATTGATATCGATGGTGACAGTTGCTGGTGCGATTACCCTTCGTATACACAAGATTTATCAGTTGCGGTGGACAGCGTTCAGCAGTTTAAATCTTGCAATCGTCGGAAAGTGTTACCATAAAGCTTACATGATTTATTGGCGACTTTCCAATTCATGGAAGCTCTTGGAGTGCATATAATTAGAGTTGGCCACTCATCGCCTTTACGTGGCAGATCAGTGCCTGAATCATTTTTATTGATAGTCATATTGAAAATTAAAAGATCAGAATTATGTATGGGCACGTGTAAGAGTCTGGAAGACTTAGTCTAGATTGCTTATTAATATGTAATGCAGTAACGAAAAGACATAGGCCTTGTTCTAATGTTTAATAAAAGTTTCCACCTTCAATCGTCACCTGCTTGTTATCTGGGAGGAATACGCTTGGTTGCTAAAAATAACAACATCACGCGTTAACTCGGTTTGTCCAACAAGCACTTTTAACGGCTTACTGCTTTGTCTAATAACGCATGTAACATAAGTACCCAGACATCAACATCATTTGCATTCAGTATTTCTGACGTACACGTACTTTAAATATTCAAATAAATTTTCCACATCATCCTTACAGCGTATTCTCGTTATTCGCTTTTTCTGTTACTAACTGCGTTCTTCATTCTTACCACAAGATCTCCAAATCCCATTTTTGCGATTTCCCTTAATACAATCATCGGACTATCAAAGTCTACTTTTGCCGCTATTGCCAATGGGTAATTCGGTAAAATGCGTACGACATCACCGTAGAGATTTTCGTTTTCGACGATATGGATGAAGGCATTGACTACATCAGACAAAGGCACAGTGCTCGTCTCGTAAATCGAGTCGCGTAGTTCTGGGTTGATCGCTGTCATTTTGGCGATCAATGGCGTTTCTAAGGGTACGTGGGGAAGGTCATGGAAGATTTAGAAACGGAATCAAATATTCCATAAAGCAATAAATGTTTCTTCTCTTTTTTTTTTTTTTTAACACGTATAATGTTAATACGTACCAACAAGATGCGGCGCGATTGCATTGACGCGAATGTTATACAACTTTTTCAAGTGATGTTGCGTTCGAGTAAAGCCTATTACCTGAATGTACAATAATTGCACATTAAATTTACAAGATTAACTATATCGTCATTCTCGATACGCTTCATTAATCATAGTTCAATTGACGGTTTACAAATACTTACTCCTGACTTGGTGCCGGTGTATACCGGAAGATAAGGAAACGCAAACATCGCCACGGTTGACCCTAGAAGCATAGGCACTCTGTCAATATCGTAAACGAAGGTTTGTTGGTTCAGCAGAGTAAATAGATACTAACCTGTATTAATAATGACACCACCTCCGCGATCTTTCATATACTCTATCCCTACGTGAGTACCCGCAATCACAGCTGTGAAATTCGTATCGATGACTTCCTTATAGTCATCTTTTACAAACGTATTAGACCAAGTCTTTTACAGTGATAACTTTATGTAATTGTACATGTAAACAAGATTCCTACCAAAGTTGTGAGTAAGCAATTCTTGTCCAGCAACTCCAGCATTATTACAGAGAACCTAGAATTGAACAATAATTAAGATAATGGTAAATGCATGAATCGACGCAATTTTCAACAATCTTATTGAATGTTATAATAATTACATCAACTCGACCAAATGCCCGATCTCCAATCTCAAACATTTTGGGGAGATCTTTCGTATTGCGCACATCAAAGTGAAAGAAAACAGCTCGTCGCGTTGCACTAGTCAACGCGAATAAATATGATAAATATATTGACAGTAAAACGCAACCAATACGCTAATAAATCATACCTTGAATTCAACTCATCAGTAATTTTTTGACCGTTTTGCTCATCCTTATCCACGACTACAACCCTCGCTCTGCACAAATCAATTGTACATGCTATATAACAAAACACTATCTCTAATCACAATGTAGAACAATTCAAACAGAAGGCGTTTTTACCCCTCTTGAACGACCCGTCGAGCAAGCGCAGCACCGATCCCACTTGCTGCTCCTGTTATAATAAAAGTCTTATTCTCTAAACGGACTGGACGTTGCGTCGCTAAGTGACGTACGGATGTGGATAATGCAAGCGAAGGACGAAAAACCGACTTAAATTTGTAGAGCATGGTGGGTTTGGTGTGTTCGTGATCCGTGAACTTGTTCTTATCATTAATATTTTCGCTCTCACCATCTCGTGGTTCTGCGAAAAATCGTGTGTTTTTAAAGATATTCTATGGTACGATTGCTATTTTCAAATCACTTTCCTTTATTAAGAAGGAGACAGTCTCTTCAGTCTCGAATGCCGTGCATATGTGTAACTAAATCAAGAACTTGATGTTATCGCCTCGTCAATGATTGGTTTACCATTCTAGTCTATTTTTTATATGGCAATTAACCTTGGGATTTTCATAGTCTAAACATTAATATTAATAATAGTAATAGGCCTATGTCGGATCGCCACACGTGGGAGAGCGTCCGTGTAACGACTTTGGGACTTCCGGCGGGAACTCTTAGGCTCATTCCTATTGTCGCTAAACCTCTATCCAATTAGTGACCTTATATTAGGATTTATCAATACTCACGGACTTAATATTAATCCGACTATCTGTATACACTTGCTTTCAACCTCTGAGTCACACACTCGATTATGATTTACTAACGAAAATCTTGAATAATAATCCTGATGCCTAAGTTCCGATAAGTTCAATGGCAAGATCAAACTTATTACTGCCAATCGAGAAAGCGTTTTGCCCTTAATCAGCGATTCGATAAAACTCACCAGGGAATGAACGAAAATATCAACTATATTAATTACAGATTTATTAGAATTCAAAGAGCTATTCTGATTACAAGGTTATAAGGACAAATAGAATCAAATATGCTGAAGATCCTAAAGATCCTAAAGACACCATTCAGAGCGAAAAACTACAACTGCTTATATGTCTAACTACCGTTTCACTATTTTGATACCATATTTCAATATATCGGGAGCGATCAGCTGCGTAGTAATTTGACACTGCTATGTTACATTTGACACCATATTTCGATATATCGGGCCATCTATATTTCTATTTATATCTGACACCAAATACCAAATTATCGAGATATAGCAAACCATAAGTTGTGTCATGAAATACATGAATATTGCAAGATACAACATAATCTCTGCATTATGTCTGTTAATGTTATGTGACAAGATGAAAAAGATGGCGAAAAATCTCCCAGACAAAGCTCTAGCCTTTGCTTTCTTTGATAAAAAGCGCGAGGAGCGATATTAATATGCTCCTCACAATGCATTATCCCTCTGTCCCGATGCAGTCGAATCTGGTGTCGCTTGTGTACCAAATATTTGCTGTGCCACAGATCGAAGCCATTGAGTGGGAATATGTCGCCTTTTAGACACCTAGGCTTGACAATAATCATTGAATGTGTTGATTCCATCTTCACCATGCTGCTTTGCAAGTTGAGCATTGAGATGACTATGACTGTATGGCCTTTATTTTGGAAATGGTCTCGAAGTATTTCAGCAAGTGTTGTCTTGCCTAAACATGGTGGACTGCACAGAAGGTCAATTGGGTGTTCAGCCATCCAACTGCAAGCCCTTCATCAGAAATATAACACAGTTCATTGGAATGGCTACAATGGAGAACAAATATGCAATAGTTAGTAATTATAATTAATGATAATGATAAAGTAAAGAAAGCCAAGGACAAAATGAAGCAAAAGCACAAATTAGTCAACTCAAAAGCAAGCAGATAAGAATAACAATGTATCTATTTTATGCATCACTTACCACACTTAATAAGTCCCCTGTTTTCCTTGAGCTTCTCAACAAGGTTTATGACCATAATTGCTGATCCACCTGGAACTTGCCATCTTTCAAGGTCTTCCTTCATTAGTTGGAGGAGGGCCACTCCCAGTGACCTTGTTTCATCTGATGATTTCAATGTCCTTATCATCAAGGTCATTGGCATCCTTGTTGGTGCCAAGAAATGCTTGCACCTGGGCTTGCTTCCATATTCCAATGTAGAGCTGGCAGCTGACATTATTGCAGTTCCAGAGGCCTATGAAACAACACAACATTATGACATAGTCATATTCAGTATCTCTAAGAAGTACTCTATCCATATTACACTACTTAAAAAATCTATTATTTATATTCTGAAATTCCCTCTTGTCTTCTACCACAAACATCTTCAACCTATTGGCTTCCTAGACTTACTCTCAAAACTTGCTTTTCCAACTCCAATTCAGCTTTGGCTTCTTCAATAACATTACCTAACTCACTACCAATCCTTGAAACATACTTTCCCAATAAAATTATCATTCTAAGAAAACTTCCATGATCTGAAAATTCTTACCATATCATCTTTAGAAGGTTTGTATACAAGTGTTTGTATGGTGCCAATAAGAGGGATAAAAATTTTAATTAATAGTTTTATATGTGTGCATCTGAAGTTGTATGCTGATGCAAGACATTGCACTATTTGATATTCATGAGCAGTTGTTTCAGTTATCTGTTTGATCAAGCTTATTTTCTGTGTAGTAAGGTTTTAGGTTGAGTTTTGTGGAGGTATTTTTGTTTGTTGATGTACCTTGTTTAGAGGGATCTTGTATTTGTTGCTTTTGCCTCTTGTGATGGGGGGTTGTTGTTTCATTGTGTGTTGTAGTTTTTTTTATTATTGTTGTTGGTTTTCCGGTTGCTGCTGCTGCTGCTACTGTTATTGTTGTTATTGTTGTTACTGTTGTTGTTGCTGTCGTCGTCATTATTGTCGTCATCGTCATCGTCATCATTGTTATCGTGGTTGCTGATGTTATTGTTGCAGAATCAAGATTTCAGTGTTACACAGGTAACAGGTGATTGTGATATATTATGAATTTAAATAAAACTATATTAGTACTATTCAAACGTTTGGGGGGGATTTTACCTTGTTATTGGGACAGAATTGCAGTATTTTGTGATAATTAAATTTGTTCTTTTGTATGATATAATCGTGTGCGATGAATGGGCTATTAATTATACATCTTTTGATCTGTTTATTTAAAAGAAAACGATTTACCAAAGAGTTATATGTTTTTGGAGCAAACGGGATGTTTATCGAAAGTATGGTTCGAGAATTCAAGCAATAATTGACGTAATAATGGTTTGCTAACGCAAATAAACGTTTACTAAAACACAGTGCATCTCACATTTGTCTTGTCTAAAGTACTGTACCTTAAAAAGAGCGTATTTGCAATCAACTCGTATGTCCTACAATCGTCTGTAATTACAACTGATAATCGTTGTGTGATTTGCTTGTATGCCGAATGTTTTCTTAAAGAAAAAATGTCAATACCTCTATAATCTTCCATAATCATAGCGTCCGAACAGAATGCAATAGCTTTCTTTTTCTTCAAAAATACGCCATAATAACAGATAGTACAAATATTAGTAATACAGTATGTGAGTAAGTCGAGCATCTCGTTACTATTACTAGTTTCTTTTTATTTATAAGGAGATATCTCTTTCTCGCAGAGAAGATGATAGTAAGTTGAAGAATAGAGATAGAAGAAGAGAGAAGACATACTAATAGGGAAATACATAAACAACGATTTCATATGTGACACAAAATCGCAAAGGTCAGGTGAGGATTGATGATCTCGTGATTGCAACAACAATTTCCCTGACACGTAACTTACACGTAACTGAAATCTTTCAAGGTAAATATTTTGAACGCAGAGCCTCCAAGTGGAATATCCTCGAGTTCCTAAACCAGTGTGATCTTGAACCGTTTCAACAGAAGGTAGATTACTACCTTTCGAGCCTCAATATGATCGCTAATAACAAAGAAGACTATAAGTGTAAGAAAGCACGGACGTTGCTCAATCAATACAGAGAGGTAAGCGTTTTTTGGGAACAAGTGGCGAGTTTTTTGTCATTTTAGGATGGTGTTGGAGCGCAGGTGACCGTCCGGGTTGGCTAACGTTCAGGCAGTGTTGGAGCGCAGGCGACCTTCTGGGTTGGCTGTCGTTCAGGGCTTCTGGCCGCGTTGGAGCGCAGGCGATGTCCGTAGTTCAGGGCTTCAGGCCGATCTGACACTGGCCCCGTTGAGGCGCAGAGTGACCTTCTGGGTTGTTCTGTCGTTCAAGGCTTCTGGCCCCGTTGAGGCGCAGAGGCCGAGCTCAGCGGACGGGATCTTTTAATATTCATCGCAATCCTAAATTTCAAGATAATATTATTAACATTGCAACTGAATATGAGGGTTCTCGACCCGATCGCGAAAAGGCGAGAAAATGGGAGAAGGAAAGGTCTCATAAACAAACTCACATCCACCAGCCATTATTTATGGATAATACTATAAACAATGAGACCGTCAATGGCGGAACTATCGTCGCTGGAACCATGTTAACCCTGAGAAAAAGAAAACGGGTAAATTATGCTGAAAGCGCAACAGAAACGGAAACGGAAATTAATGACTGAAATCCTTTTTTTTTTACTCAGTTGAAAAGACAATCCACCCAACCTATAAATGATGTTGAAGAGACCTTCAGTAATAATGAAAACGAGCAAGTGATGGAACCCGATAATGATGGTGTAAGTTGACGTTGAATCGATCTTCATGAAACAAGTCATTACTTTAGCTAGATATTATTGTCATAACCATCAAGTACAAACCACTTTGTCTCCTTCATAATTTTTCATAATTATATTGTCATATAATAAAACTTCTACGATGAATTGGTTTTATTGTGGTATGAAAAATAGCGAAAAGAATGTTTTATTAGTTTGATCGACAACAAAGTACACAACCGTTACATAATACTATTCTCGGAAAAAATTATCAGAAATCGACAATTCAAGTGCGAATAGGCGGTGGAGAGAGAATGGCAATATATTCTTAATCGGTCTAAAATTACGAACAAGATACATAAACTATTTGGTAATACTGCTCAGAATCGTTGAGCAATTTTTAATTTAAACACATTTACTATTACTATATGTTGTAGGAAAGAGAAGCGAGGTTGCCTCTCAGTTTCTACCAGTCGTTGGTATAAAAATAATTATTCTCGTAAAGCTTATAAAATTCCCGCTGTCCACACCAAATAACGAATTTTTTTTTTCAACTATCTCTCCGCTAGCTAACTCCGCAGGCTAAATCCGTAACTCCTGCAATGACGACACAATCGCAAACTCATCATTACTTGAATGACGACGTAAATGCAAAGTCGTTGCCACTTGGTCAATAACAATTTTTTCTCCAGCTATTTCTGCCGGCTAACTCTGCAAGCCAACTTCTGCAATGATGACGCAAACATAATTCCACCATACTCCAATATCTGGGATGGTTGTAATCCGGTCAAAAAACTATCCCCAGAAGAACTTAAAATGGGCATTATAATTAAAAATGGCACGGGATTGTTATAATTCATAATAAGTGGTATATTTGATTCTGATTTTGTTATTTACTACGGAATTGTTTGATTGGTTAAAAATTCACTTCCAGGTATTTTCGATCGGTGAACTCACGTATTCTGCGGCGATTTTGTATAACTTAGATTTCTTGATCGCTTGATCGTAAATAGTGATAATTCGTGAGTAGACGTCTGGAAGGGAAATTGAGCGCTAGAGTGATGAATTCGAATAGTGATATAAAATTCATTATGTAAACGACCTTTCTCCCAGGCGGAAAGAAGTAAGTTTGGCTGCTGAGGATAAAACCAAAGCGGAACGCTTCCCTGGGGTGGTTTCATCTCTTGTAATAATATCCGTTATCGATTATTGGAAATGTTGTTCTCTACCGATACTTTGATGTAAGAATTCCCTAGCGACTAATAAGACATGGTACGGAAATAATTATTTTGTTATAAAATCATAGCGACTAATAAGAAGGTGCATGAGAAGTATTCGGCTATTATATTATTCTCTGAATTGACACTTTGCATACAAGTTCTTCGCGATTAATAAGACAAGTAGCAGAGTATCCGTCTATCGATGCTTTGTGGTAATATCGTGGCGACTAATAAGGGAAGCGTGAGAAGTGTTTAGTTTAGAAAGATTGCGATTATAAGACCTTATGTTTAATACAGTAAACGGCGTTCGTAATAATAAAGACAATGTATAACACCGAGAGTTTAATATACTCGTTAGAAGGTTGATACTCGTAATATA